CCATCTCCCTGACCTCCTCCATCTCTGCTTCCTACTGTCACTGTGTGTTCGACTATCTGTGGCAGGAGAGTGGCTAGAAGAAAGATAGTCTTAATATGCAGGTAGTTACGTAGAATCTTGTCTTTATCTGTCTATGGATTGCTGTGTCTTTTGCATTATAGAAATTAGGTGGAGGAGGAAATTGGCTGTTTTTTGTTTCTAGTTTCCCCCATTATTTATATTATTTCTTTTCTACCTGATTACACCATCTCTTTGGTTCTACTATGATACCATAATGTGTTTGTTCTATAAAGAAAGTTAGATCTATAGGGCATATATCACCATTTGGACTCCTCTAGAAATGAACTAATTTACTCGGGCTTATCAGTTTTAATGCTGTTAAGTGAAAACACTTGAGAGTGTCACAGCTGAGTAAATATTAAAGAAAAATAATAAATACTTTAGGTTAATAATAACAAGTCACACAGGTCAGCCAAGTTTTTTTTCATTTGAATTACTTTTAATCCCTCTTGAACATGTCAAAAGAAAAAGGGATGAAATCCCCTCACTAGAATCCTAACATCAACCCCTCCCCACAAAATAAACCCCTTATGACTGTTACAGGTGAAAATGTACTTTAAAAAATTGCCATAGCCAATTGTTAACACACTGTTCGATCTACAAACACAGTTGTTTAAACACAAGATTGCCATTACTCAGCAGGTTCATTAATCACAATTCGGCTTGCTATCAGGAGTAAAAATTACTGATGTTATTAAATTTCCACCCCATTACCTTGACTTTTATTTAGAACCATTCATCAGTGTTGTCCTCCTTTATTAGAAATCACAAGTTTAACAAACCACAAGTTCATCAAAGAAACACAATAAATATATCTGATGATATATTGGAAATGTAAATATTTAGTAAAATTTTTTTAATTCTCAAAGTCTCTTAAGCATTATAATAATCCATTCAAGATAATTCTTAAGACTTGACGTCACAAACCTTTAGCTAGAGACATTTAAATAGTGCTCAAAGGGGGCGGGGGGGGGGGAAACATTCCTGAAATAATGGATTTCCAGTCATTGGTTTCACACAGTCCTCGGACAAGTCTGTCATTCTCTCAGGTTTTGTTATGTTTTGTTATGCTGTAATTTTTTGATAGCCCCAAATAGGCCTCCATTTAGGGAGCTATAATCCCTTGCTTTAATAAAGCCACTTCCTGGTTATCTATAGGAAACATTCATGGGTATCACATCCAGGAATGGTTTTGAGATAGATGTCTTCTAAGTGATACTGAGACCCTAAATTGAATAATATTAACCAATAAATCACTGACTGCTCTTCATTAGAACTGAGCTACAAAAGAGAATGTAGCACAAGAGAGTCCTATAAAACTTTACTCGGCTGTTCATCACACAGCACTAAAGGAAAAGCTAACTCCTAATACAGAGCAATGGACTGACAGTACAAAGGACTGTAGTTAGTAGGAGCATATATAGAATTCTAGACACTCATTCTGACTATAAATCTTGAGATAATTAGGTCATCCTTTTACAGAAGGACTACAAAATAGGTTAGGGGAAATTAAAGGAGTAGTGATAGGGGATTGTTTGCATTTGAGAGTAAAACACTTGAAGAGGCAGTGAATATAAATTTTTGTGATAATTTTATGATTACATATATACAAACTGAGGTTAAAATAAAAAAATGAGTGTGAATGAAGTACCCCAATAAAAAACAGGCCTTCTTGAATATGTTACTTTTGTCATACCTTTCTATTAACTTTGTGCTTTTTATGTTTCTTTGACTTTTTGCTGGGAATTTCATCAGTAGGATCTGTAACTGAAAATAATAACACCACTCATTTTTTTATGATTACAGCTTTCTTATTTTATGTAATCTTATGGTGTGTCATTTGAGGAGTTAGCTTGCCCTTCCAATCCCCCACCCCCTTTCCAAGCAAAACCCTAGAAGAAACCTGAAATTTGAGAGGAGCACAAAGGACTAAGAGCTTTGAAATTGATCAGTCCATGAGCAGTGCCTTAGAAATTACTTCAGTCACTGTAAGCTGATGGACTTCACAGAAATGTGAGTATTGAAATCTCAGGTTCTAGGTCTTATTCTTTCCCACTTACCATTTTTAGGAAAAACAGCTGAAGCTGACTTTTTGTGGTTTGCCACCAAAGGAGATGAGTATTTCTTATTTAATCTTTCATTAAATCTTATTAAATCTTATTTAATCTTTCATTAAAACTTCCAAGCATTAAGGAAAGAAAGGTTCAGACTGCATGTCACTGTGGAGCTCTGCCTGAAGCAGGGTTGGCCACGGATACCTCCATGATATCGGTTTCAGTGTTATTGATTTCAGTGAAGGCAAAGGTAAAAGAAGCCAGGATGGAAGAATAAAGAGAAGGGACAGCCTGATCACAAAGAAAGGTTTCCTGATAACACCCTAACTGACAGATTCCCACAGGCGTCAGTATGAAAGAATTTGCATATGCGAGCATCACACAACAATCAATCATGATTTCTAATTTCATGACATTACGCACACGCACACACACTTCATTCATTCTCCAGAAACTGTGTCAACAACTGTTGAGTATGGTCAGTAAACAAACAAAACAATAAAAAAGACCCCTACGGGTCAGAGTGATAGTACAGCCCTGCGAGAGGCTGACCTGGGTTGGATCTCTGGCATACCATATGGTCCTCCAGGCCCACCAGGAATGATCCCTGAGCACAGACCCCGGAGTAAACACTACAGGGTGTGACCCCAAAACAAAACAAAGACCCACAAAAGCAAAGAGAGGATGTTGGTGGTTGTTATTACTTTCTTGGATTTATTTATTAGGCAGGCAAAGGGAATAAAAGCTCTGTGTTCCCTGCCTTGGATTTAAGTGCATCCTTTTCATCAACTACTCACAGTATTCTTCAGTGACAAATCAGAAAGGTTCATGCCACAAGCCATAGATTCCACTATATTTGTTATTATAAGCATTTGAGGACATGAGACTTGAAATTAAAGCTCCATTAAAGGATCTGAGGGCTTGTTTACTCCTAACTATGTGCGCAGGTATCACTCCTGCCAGGCCTCAATAGACCATATGTGGTTACAGGGATTGCACTCAGGTTATCCACATGCAAGACAAGTGCCTTACCTGCTGTAGTGTCTCTGGCCCCTGAGATTTATGAGAAAATTTGTGAGCCATTTTTTCTAACAATAAAATATTTCCAGGAATGTTCTTTTTTATGGCACGTTTCTCATCCAGGAAGTAAATGTTACCCAAAACATTGTGTACTGAGACAAAGAATCATGAGAAAAGTCCAATGGATTTGATAAAAGCTTTAGTGGAACAAGTAATACGATTAAGAGCATATTTATATGAGGGAAAGAAGGGCATGGGAGGATGGAAGAGGTTGATAATGAAAAAAAAAAGAGAAATGGAAAAGGCATTGGAAAAATCGAACTCAATTGTTTTTGTTTTTAAGTCAGGGATGATCTTTATCAATTTGGAGGCAGAAAAGACGGAGTTGCTAAAGGTGAAAAGATCTGGCAAGTGACCTGTGCTGTGACACAGGCTTTGTGCTTAGCAAGACACAAACATCACACATACTTTAATATTCTTGCTCTCATGGTCTGTGAAATTTCCAGTGTTTTTGGAACCAGTGTTTTGCATTTTTATTTTGCACTATGTCCCACAGTGGGTAGGGCGTTTGCCTTGCACAGGCGACCCAGGTTCCATTCCTCCCCCCACCCCCACCCCCCCTCAGAGAGCCTGGCAAGCTACCGAGAGTGTCTTGCCCTCACAGCAAAGCCTGGCAAGCTACACCTGATGTATTGGATATGCCAAAAACAGTAACAACAAGTCTCACAATGGAGACATTACTGGGCCCCCTGGAGCAAATCGATGAACAACGGGAGGACAGTGACAGTGACAATCCCACAGATGGTGTAGGTCCCACAAATTATGTTGGCCTTACAAATTATGAAAGTGCTCCAAGAGAAAGAAAGCACCAAGTGTTCCCCCAAAGAGTTCCATGCTTCAGTTCCGAGACCTGTGAACACATTACCTGACATGACAGAAAGAACTTTGCAGGTGTGATTAAAGATTTTGAAATGGAGAGACTCTCCTGGATTATCTCGGTGGGCGCACGTAATCATAGAGGTGCGTAAGTGAATAAGTGCGTGTTATGTCATAAATGAATAAGAGGAGGGAGGTAATGAAGCTAGGGTCTGAAAGAGAAGACATGCATTACCGGGACCGGGGACCGTAGGGGGTGTCTGGGATCAAACCCGGGTCGGCCACGTGCAAGGGTCTGCTACACTAACCCCATTCTTGAACTTGCATCTTGTCTGCTTGCGTTGACCTAGTGGTGGGCGTGGGACAGAGGATGACTCCACCTCCACCTCCATCTCAGGTGGCTTAGCTAAGAGACACCCGCCGCAGAGTTTGGGGCCACCAAGAAAGGGACAGAGACAAAGCAGGCGTTTCCCCCTGGAAGTCGAACATCTCCCATCCTCCGTTCCAAACTGGCGTAGAAACGGGGCCAGCCCTGCAGCCCCGTGCATGTGCGTGGTGTCGCCGAACCCCCGACAAAACCCCAGTCACAAAGAGGCCTCCAGATCCGTTTCCTGGGAGCAACGCACTGCCCAGGAAGGGGGCGCGGCGGCGACCGTGGCCTCCCGCGGGCGAAAGACGCTCCGCTCCACCCGCCGGGAGCCTCCTTGTTTTGGAGGCCCGCGTGGTCCCGCCCTATTGGCCGCCGCCGAGCCCGAGGCCCCGAGGAGGCGGGGCGGCGTCCCCAGTTGTTGTTCCCGGGTTTGCCCGGCCGCCGGCCCCGCCTTCCCGCACGAGGCGTCCGGGAGGCCGCGGGAAGACTACAACTCCCACAAGGCCGCGCGCGCGGAGGGGGCGGGGGCGTGGCCAGGCGCCGTGGAAGCCGGGGGGGCGGGGCCGCCGGAGGGATGAAGTGGGGGCGCTGGGTTCTCCAGCCTCACCGGTAGCGCCCGAGCGCCGCCGGGAGAGCGTAGCCAGCCAGCGTGGGGCCGGTTTGCAGACAGACCTCTGACCCTGGAGTCTCTGGGCCGCTGGGAGCCGTCCGCGTGGGTCGTCGCCCGGGCCGCCCGCCGTTCCCCGGCCCTGAGGGGCCCGGCCGGCCGCGGTGGGAGAAGAGGTCAGCATGAGCCGGGGGGTCCGGCGGGCCGGCGCAGGGCAGGGGGCGGCGGTCGCCGTGCAGCTGCTGGTCACCCTGAGCTTCCTCCCGAGCGTCGTCGAGGTCCAGGTAAGCCCTTAGCTAGAGCTGGCGGGGCGGGTACCCCCCCCCCCCATCCCCATCCCCTCACCACCACCACTACCACCACTCATCCCCCCTCCCAGCCCCAACCCCGCGATCGAACGCCCGCGGCAGCCGCGAACGGGCCGCGGTCGGGCGCTGAGGAGGTTTGTAGCGAGCCGGGAGGACTCGGTGGGGGGCTCCTGCCCTGACGGTTTCGTCCGGGAAAGGTCCTGCGAGCCACTCGCGGGGCGCGGGGAAGCGACGCTCGGGGAGGGCGGGTAGACCCGGGCAGTCCAAAGAAGAAGATGCTGCGGGTCCCCAGAGGTGCTTGTTTTTTGCTTTCTGTTTTCTTCCCCCTCTTTTCTGCTGCTGGAAGGAGCGTGGCAGAGTAGGGGCTGGCATGCAACCCCCCACCCCCACACCCCACATCCGCGCCGCTCGGTTGGAAGGAGCGCGCCGGCCGGGGAACGGGAACTGCGGGCCGGGTGCGGAGGGGACCGAGCCCGCGGCCGCCTGGCAGCCGCCGCCGAGGCCGAAGGGGGTCCGCGACGGACGGGGCTGAACTTCCCTTCAACTTTCGGGCTCAGGAGTGTCCCGCCGCGGTCCCCCAGGCTCCAGCCTCTGCACCCCCCCTCTACCCCCTCCCCCCACAAGACGGCGGCACCGCCCCGGGGGAGCCCCGGGAGCAGACGGGCGCGGAGCTGTAGCTGGTGCCCAGGGTCGGTCCCGAGCAGGGTCAATGACAGCCGCGTCCTCCCATGGGCTGGACATCGAGGGAGTCAACTGGCCTGAACCTTTCGCCTTCCTGTTTGCTGCCTTCCTTCCAGGCTCAGTAGAGCTGGAGGAGACCGCTGCCAGGTGGTGGGTGCCAGGGCTGATCTGCACCTGCTGAGAAGTGGCAGAGTTGGGCAGCGTGGCGGTGGGGGGAGGGGGGTCCCCAGGTGGACTGATAATGAGGGGAGCTGTCATCTGAGGCAGTTAATGCACGGAACTCGGGCAAATGGAAGGTCATGGAGATGATAGCTGGGCAAACATGTTTTTGTTAATTGGTTTTTTTTTTTTTTACTTTGTTCACTCCTCTCCCCTGACACTAGGCACTAAATCTCAAAACGCCTGAATATGCCATTTGTGCCCATGGGTGGATAGATTTTAAGTCAGTGTTGAACCGAAAAATTAAAGAGCAAGCTTTTTGTTTTGGGATTAGGGATTTGTTTTAACAAATGCAGAATCTCAGGCGGGGAGGCGATTGAAGGGCTGGGGTGTATCCCCAGCACTGTGTGCCCCCAACTTCGCAGGGAGTAGTTCCCAGCACCCTACCTGGAGCATCACCACCTCCCCACCTGCCACCACTCCAAGAACAGTGGAGTGTGGCTCAAAAAAAAAAAAAATCACGCAGATTCTTTAGTCCCTTCTCTCTTTTCAGATTATGTGAATTCAGATTACAGAATCCACATTTTGTTTTTATTTGTTTGTTTATTTTATAATTTGTTCTTTGAGCCACAATGGGCTTTTACTCCTGACATAAGGGACTGTATGGGGTACTGGGGATCGACCATCAACCCCAAGGCAAGCACCCTAGCACTTTACAATCTCTCTTGTTCACCCACGCCCCACCCAATCAACATTTTAAACATTGTAAGTAAATGTAATATTGTTATTATACTTGGAAAATGACTTTTGGAACCCCACTTCTTATATAATGTAAACCTGGGCCTGTCTACTGGTGGCAAACTTTCTGAATTGTCTTTGCAGAGTTATTTTCTAGTCACTGGTTGTGTGTGTGTGTGTGTGTGTGTGTGTGTGTGTGTGTGTGTTTGCATTTAGAGTTTTGAAACTGAGATTTTTCTTATTTTCTTTTTATTTTGAGCAACAGATTGAGTACTTTGTCACCAGTCTGCACTGCAGCACTGTCCTCCCATTGTTCATCGATTTGCTCGGGCACCAGTAACTAGAAATGTTATTTGCATTAATGTCTTATTGCTCCTGTACTTAAATTTTTATTCTGTCCAGGTGAATGAAATTTTGATGAATATGTATAATTCAACGGTTGGATATTTGTACTTAGTCATAAATTGCATTATGCCAAATTTCAAAAGTGAATGTGCTTGATTCTTGGTTCCAGTGGTACTTTACAATATTGTATTTGATCATTTTATTTAATTATTTTTTTGGTATTTGCTCATTTTAGTACTTTTATCTGTAATATGCTTAAACATGCACGATCTTATTGTTATTTGATATGTCTCTCAAAAGTGAGACTGCTGGGGCAACTGAAGTTCAAAGAGCTTCCATGACTGATATCACGGCTTGTTAAGTGAACAAAGTGAGACTGGCACCCTATCAAACTCCATTGTTTTGATAGTGACGTCTTTGTTTGTTTGCTTTGTAGTGTAAAAATAAAGCAGAGGGAGATTCAGAAAATTTAAAATTTCTCCTTTAACTATATTGCAAGAAAAACAGTAAAGCATGAAGGAAAGAATTATGCTTTTTTGAAACCAATCTCTCTTCACAATTAACTGTCAAGATATTTGGCTATTTTGGAATAAAAGCATAAACATTTTTATTTTTAAGCACAATGTAAAATGATAGGCTTCTGTATATCTAATGTCCTATTATAAATTACATGTAAATGTGCTTTGTGATATGGCAAAGCATAAGAAGTAAAGAACATAAGCATATGAAGTAAAGAACTATCTAAAAAGTGGGGCTGGAGCGATAGCACAGCAGGTAGGGCGTTTGCCTTGCACGCGGCCAACCTGGGTTTGATTCCCAGCATCCCGTATGGTCTCCTGAGCACGACCAGGAGTAATTCCTGAGTGCAGAGCCAGGAGTAACCTGTGGGCATTGCCGGGTGTGACCCAAAAAGGAAAAAAAAAACTATCTACAAGAGTTACAATTATTAACTCTTGTGTAAAAATTGTGTAAAAAAAATTTACATGTATATTTTTAAAAAAATCTTTCTAGGGGCCAGAGCATTAGTGCAGCAGGTAGGGAATTTGCCTTGCACGCGGCTGACCTGGGTTCAAATGCAGTGGCATGAACAAGAAATAAAGCCTATCTTCCCAAGGAGAGGAAAGTAAAAGGAGATCCTACTGTAACACTTGCACCCGAGAAAGTTACATCCTCAGTAGAATGAGTGAATGAGCAATGAATCCCTGCCTTGGTCAAAAGGGGAAAGCGAGGGGCTGGAGAGGTAGCACAGCGGGTAGGGCGTTTGCCTTGCATGCGGCTGACCTGGTTTCAATTCCTGGCATCCCATATGGTCTCCCCCAAGCACCGCCAGGAGTGATTCCTGAGTGTAGAGCCAGGAGTAATCCCTGAGTATTGCTGGTTGTGACCCAAAAAGCAAAAAAAAAAAAAAAAAAAAAATTTAAAAAAAACTTTCTAAATGCATTTCTGAGCCTCTGCTCTGGGAGGAAGGGAAGGAGAGAAGGAGGGAGGGAGAGAGGAAGAGAGAGAGAGAGAGAGATTTTAAAACTGAAGCAGTGTTGTTCAGAACCATTACCCTAATGATTCCCCCAAATCCTTAAGATCTTGGGGTCAGAGGGAGAGAGAGATAGCATAGCAAGTTATAAGGCACTTGCCTTGCACATGGTCAATCCGAGTTCAATCCCTGGCATTTCATATGGTTCCCCATCCAGCCAGGAGTGATCCCTGAGTGCAGAGTCAGGAATAATCCCTGAATACTGTCAGGTGTGGCCCCCAAACAAAACAAAAAATACAGAGAAAAGCAAACCCTGAAGATCTTGAGCTTCTGCTTTAATATCTAAATGCAGTGGCATGAACAAGAAATAAAGCCTATCTTCCCAAGGAGAGGAAAGTAAAAGGAGATCCTACCATAACACTTGCACCCGAGAAAGTTACATCCTCAGTAGAATGAGTGAATGAGCAATGAATCCCCCCCTTGGTCAAAAGGGGAAAGCGAGGGACTGGAGAGGTAGCACAGCGGGTAGGGCGTTTGCCTTGCATGCGGCTGACCTGGGTTCAATTCCCGGCATCCCATATGGTCCCCTGAGCACCGCCAGGAGTAACTCCTGAGTAACCCCTGTGCATCGCCAGGTGTGACCCAAAAAGCAAAAAAAAAAAAAGGTGGGGAGGAAGCGAGAGCTAGAGGAGAGGAAAAAGATGCCCTTGAGAATTTGTAGTCATAAGCCAACTTCTATACAGGTTTGCAGACTACATCCTACGTGCTAAGAAGAATATGCAGTTAACCTCCCCAAACCCCAAGCTCTGTGAATCAGATTAGACATTAAAGGCTAGGGGCTGGAGAGAGAATACAGGGTTTAGTGTACATTGCAGGGTATAACCTTGGAGGTCCTCCCAAACTCCTGTACTTGCCCATTCAAGAGCATTACTTGAACAAGTTTTTCTTTTCTCTTCTGAATTAATTTTTCCTACTCAATTTTCAATATAATATAGCTATCATTGCATGTACTTAAAACATGCTGCTCATAATATAACGATAACTATATTTTATTGAAAAAATCCTGCGACTTTCAGATTCTCTACAGGCCCACCTGTCTCTTCTGGTTTTGCTCCCATTTTCTGTTCCTCATAAGAGAAAAACTCACACGATGATGTTTGGGAGTTAATTTGGCAGTTCGAACAAGGGAGCACAGCTACCCATATGCCCTCCACAGAACAGCAGCCTTTAATGAGAAAAGGCTACCCCCCTCCATCACGGGCACAACTGCAAGGAGGGGCACATGAATGGTGAGGAAGGAATAGGACACCCATCTCGCCAGTCAGTTCAGATGAAAGAACCATGGTGATCAGTGGGGTGACAGATATTGTTAGATAACCTTCACATCCTCAAGGGCTTTTTTTTTTTTTAATTGAATTGTCGTGAGATACAGTTACAAAGCTTTCATGATCGGGTTTCAGTCATAGTGTTCCAGCGCCCATCCCGGCACCAGTGCAGTACATTTCCCACCACCAATATCTCCCCTATTCTCCCCTATTCCTCCTGCCACCTCTATGGCAGGCACTCTCTCTCTCTCTCTCTC